GTTTTTCATGTTCTGGTTAGTTATGTTGTCCATAAATGTGAAGGAAATAAAATCTAAACAGATGCCACTGTTGTTTCATTCATCAACTCTTTTAATTTGCTCTTAGTCTGACCCCTTCTTTGCTGCGGGAGACCCTTCCAGGGACTGATGCCTCAGAAAACAGACCCCAGTATCACAGGGGTACTCAAACCCTTCCACCACATTAAAGTGTTTGTTCTGGGGAGAGTGACTCTCCTCTCAGCGAGAAGCTTGCAAGATTGAATCTTTCTGGGTRTTTGCATGTTCTCTCTGTGCCTGTGTGGGTTTTCTCTAGGTACCAAAACCAYGCATGTTAGGCTCACTGTTAACTCTGTCGTCTCTTGGTGTGGGTGAGAGTGTGAATGTTTGTTTGTTTCGTGTGTCTGTGTAGCCCTGTGATGGAATCGGTGCAGTTCCTCTGTGACTGCTGGGCGCCGGTGACACCCGCGGTGTGAAAAAGGAAGAAGTGGGAAAAGATAATAGATGGATGGAAAAAAAGTGCAGAAAAAAACTGTTTATAAATGAAATTGCAGGGTTTTTTTTCTTTATTGCATTTAAAATTGTTTAAAACGTGCAGAGAATAAAAAGAACCTGAAAATGAATGAAACGTTTTTCTTTTGTATTTTTTTCTTAGACAGAAAACAATTTTCTGGAGAAAACCAGGATCGTGCAGGAAGCTCCAAATAGTCGGTGTGGGCGGTCGTCATTGATCCCCTTCAGTCACCGAGGAGTTGTTGCCCGACCGGAAAGCTCACCTGGAAACAACAAGCAGGCTTTACCACCCTGATGCTCCTGCGCACTGAAGTGGAGACAATTGAGAGCTGCTGAGTGTCCGCTGCTCCATCGATTCCTTGTATCTTCATCCCACTTGATGACTTTTTTTTTTGCTCTTATAATTCACCTCATGGAGCCATTCCCAGGCCTTAGCGAGGGACACGGAGAAACAATGTGTGGTGGAAGATATTTTGACGTTGGCATGCCAGTGGAAGAATGCAACGGATTTAATGAGAGGAGCCTTAAAGAGGAGGGAGGATTTGAAAATTCTCCAGTGCCAAAACACCCAACGCAATTACCATAAGCTCTCTGTCATTGCAGAATGAAGCTATTTTCAGGCTCCTGCACGGCACACAGGAGAACGATAAACCRAGATTATGCAGCGCACACACACTGTCTGTATCACAGGCGAGCATTTTGAAGATTCCTCTCTATGTGAGCCACAGGTGAATGCACAACCCATGAGCTCATGAGGATGCTGCTCCCCGTTGGGCATGTTTCCCCTCTGGCTAAGTGGAAGGAAGGTGGTCTTCACTGAGAGGCTCATCTGCCAATCACAGCCTCCCCTTATCAGTGGGAGCACCCTGACAGCAGCAGAGCCTTTCTCCATCACTGAGCACTGAAAAAGAACAGGAAAAAAAAACTGATCCTCAGTCTAGACCTCCTTCTCAGCCTCCTCGTCTCCACACAGCTTAAATAAAATAACGCCACAACAAATTCGCAGCAAGCATCTTAAACACTAACAACTCCGTCCACTTTGTTAAGCAATTACTCTTCAAGCGGCTGCAAATCCATCCATGTTCTGGCTCTGATCTGCATGTCGGCACGCCTCCCCTGAGCCCTGGTGTCTGTGCAGTCACCCAGATCCTAAAAAAAAGCCCACRTTCACATACTGTTTTCTCAGCCAGTGTCTGCTCCATGTTGACACTAGCTCATAGTTGATCTATTTCCAGCTCGCAGGCTTGTTTGGCCGTGCAGCTGCCACGGTGATGCAAGACAAGATGGAAGGCTGAATGCAATTCAACTGCTTAACTAGTTTCCATCAGTTCTGGCAAAGCTTAGATGTGTTAGGGGACCAATTACTCACCAGAGGACACAGACAGAGCAGCAGCCCATTTTTAAAAATGAAGATATTAATGGAAAAACTAATCTCCGTGATGCAGAGTGGTGGGGTAAAATACCAATAATTGTTGATTTTCTGCATTTGTGAGGCAGTTTATATATTTTTTTCTTACTCTGTGGTGAGAAGTCCAATGGCGAGCGATGCTTTCAAATGTAGATCTCACCAGCTGTGCTCAAAGAAAAAGCATTTGCAGTCAGGGCCAGCCTGTGGCATAGTCCGTACAGGCAAATGCTAGGGTCGCCATCCATCCAGGGGTTGTGGAGCAAAAACAAGTATTTTATAACTTTTATAAAATGCTTGATTTTTTAAAGCAAAATGCTCTTCAAATAGCTGAAAAATGCTTAGTTTTGAGTAGATCTTTTA